CCACAGGCAGGGAGCTGGATGGGAAGTGGAGCAACCGTCCTCAAACACCACATGGGATGCCAGCACTGCAGGTGGACTTTTTAAGCTGATAATTTTTTATGGTCGACAAAGATGTCGCACATTTCCAAATGTCCCTCGGCAGAAAAAGGTGTGTCATCCTTGGAAGAGTTAAAACTAGACACATATTTGGAAGAAACTAAGTGTGCCCCACTCCCTTCCAGTCTTACTTCACTAAACACACTTCTGCGGTCCAGGCTTGGTTTCCACTGTTGGGGCCAGTCGGAATCCACTTCTAAGACTTATGCTCCAAAATAATACAGCACCCCATCACATTTCCCCTCTTTTAGTTTAACTTGGTTTTAGTTGGGCACTTGGCAAAACCTTCAAAATGGGAAAGACTGCTGAAGTGAGACACACGAATGAGACATGGGTTTAACTACTGGGGGGTGGGGAGAGGCAGAAGCCCTGCGAAGAACTCCCCAGGACCGCTCTTGCTCTCGCTCTCATCTTTTTCCTGTTTCTCATTCAGGCAAGAAAATGCCAATCTCACCCAGAGGCTACTGGAACAGGTAAGGAGGGCAGGGAAGAGTTCCACAAGAGGCCTCAGGGCTCCTTTCTTTCTTTCTTTCTTTTTTTTTTTTAAAGCTTTATTTATTTCTATGTGAAAGGCAGATTTACAGAGAGAAGAGACAGAGAGGTATCTTGTATCCGTTGGTTCATTCTTCAAATGATTGCAACCACTGAGGCCCGGCCAGTTCCAAGGCCGGCGCCTGGAATCCTTCCAGTCCTCCCATATAGGTGTAACATTACAAGTGGAGCAGCAAGGACTCAAACTGGCAGCCATATAGGAGGGCAGAAGAGCAGGCAAAGGCTTCACAAAGCTATACCATGGCCCTAGCCTACTTTTCAAACAAAACACACAACAACAACAAAAGGCCACTGACCTGTATACACCTAATGAATGGCTTATCTGCATAATTCTTACGCATCACAGAAACATCTGCACCACACACACAAGGCTCTCACATCAGTGGGGCAGGAATGGAACGAACAGGCTGTAGATCAACAGGCAAGTCAGACTGCGAGCAGCAGAGGGTAGGTTTTGTTCCTCATCAGAGGCCAAATGTGCCAGTCGGAGGGGGGCAAAGGGCCAGGAATAATAAAAAAGTACAGTAAGGCAGTTAACCTTGCAATGAAGCTCCTGCGGCTGCAGATACAAGTGAAAACTTGTGACGTGTGCATCCCAGAAGGGCTGCAGCTCGTGTCCTAGCTACTCCACTCCCTGCCAGCCACGGGAGACCTACAGTGCCAGGCTTCAGCCTGCTCAGCCCTGGCCATCTGGGGCTGGACGAGCCGTGGAAGAGGACCCTTCCTCTTTCTCTGTAACTCTATTTCCAAGCAAGCAAGCAAACAAACAAACAACAACAAAAGGGGGGGGGAAGTTCTTTCTCTGAGAAGTGAAAGTTGGACACAGATATAGATAAAACTAAACACATTCAAGTCCCCGGTGTCCCAGCCCAACTCTACTGATAAGCAAGGAGTGGTGAACAATCCATGACAATGAGCATAAACGAACAGAACAGAAACATTCCTCTAAGTCATTCATGGTCCTGGAAAAATCCTTGCTCCACTTTCATAATCCTACTCTGTTAGTTTTCAGTAATTTTTTCACTAGACTGTGAAGCTAAAAATCTTCTCATCAGCAGATTGTGGTTACTGTGAAAACTTACGAAGATTTCTGAGCTCCACACTGACAATCTCCCTGTAAGGGTGCATCCCGACATGGGGCGTCAGTATCACAGGGACCACCCTTTCCAGAACGGAAGAGCCATTTAACACTGTGCAGGGAGAAGCAACAGTGGGACACTAATCAATTCATCCCCCTCTCTTACCACCAAACTCCTGACCTTCACTGGGCCACTCTCAAGAACTGGATACTAGGGCCCGGCGGCGTGGCCTAGCAGCTAAAGTCCTCGCCTTGAATGCGCCGGGATTCCATATGCAAGCCAGTTCTAATCCCAGCAGCTTCACTTCCCATCCAGCTCCCTGCTTGTGGCCTGGGAAAGCAGTCGAGGACAGCCCAAAGCCCTGGGACCCTGCACCCGCGTGGGATACCCGGAAGAGGTTCCTGGGTCCTGGCTTTGGATCGGCATAGCTCTGGCCGTTGCGCTCACTTGGGGAGTGAATCATCAGACGCAAGATCTTCCTCTCTGTCTCTCCTCCTCTCTGTATATCTGACTTTCCAATAAAAAGAACTGGATACTAGTTACAAAGTGGCCCATGTCACTGCTGAGTAGCAGTAACAGCCACTCCCAAGAACTGGATGTTGGTTACAAAGTGGCCCACGTTACTGCTGAGTAGCAGGAGCCGGCCTCACCTCCACCTTGTCACTGCACTCATCTCCTGCTGATCTTTGTCAGCTTCCTTCCCTACATCTGTTATAGAGATGGCACCAAGTCACTGATAAGTGAAATCCACCTTTTAAAACTCTCTGACTTCTCTTGAGGTCTCCTTAGCTAATGGCTGCTTTGAAAATACAAGCATTTTTACATTCCTTTCTATTGTCCATGGGGAGCCGGGGGAAGCAAGCATTTTCTCCGAAGGGGCTTCAAGTCTTCTCTGAATACTGCCAGTCAAAATGGGGAAAACAATCCTGTCACTAAGCCTGTGCAGCGGATGGAGCGGGAACACTGCATTTCTGCCGGACTGTGCCTGGGCACCCTCGTGATCCACACAGCCAGCAAGGGCAGGTGCAGCCTGTCTGCAGATCCAGGCACCACTTTCCCTCAACCTAGAAACCAGCTCACCTCTGCAAAGGAGCCCGGGAACCTAGAAGCATTTGTTGTCAGGTCAGTTCTTCCACATCGGAAATACTCATGACTTCTGCGGAGATGTGAATTTTTTCTCCCTGTAAATCTGGTGTTGTCCTTCAGGAAGACACTAAGCCACGCACATGCTATGGGTCGGGTACTAGGAACAGATACCTCACCCAAATGCATTTGTCAAGTCCACTACGACAGAAGCCTCTGTGGGCTCGCTTCTGTCCAGCAATCCCTCCCCCACCATCAGTCTAGCTGAGTCGAACAGAGGAAAGTGCCTCGTGTCACATGACTGTTTCCTGAGGTGCCACAAGTTTGAGGGACCAGTTCTCCTTTCCCACATATTTACAACTCCTGTCCACTTAATCAGAATCTGAAAAGTGAATAAATTCCAGCACCAAGAGGCACCACTGCGAAAACTCAAGCTGTCCCAGACCCCTGTGTTATTACTGTTAACATTTTTCGGTAAATCATCACTCTAGTTAGGATTCCCTCCAGGCTGTGAACAATGAGTTTACATTTTTCCCCGTGCTCCCTAACTTCAACTGTGTTCCAACAGGAGTTAGGAGTCAGTCCCCTTTGATGTCTTTATAATCTCTGTAACTACCGAGAACTTCTTTGTCCTCACCCAGTTTTCATCTTTCTCTCATTCAACATATGCCCTGGTTCCAATCTCTCAAACCACCACGCCAGCTCATTCCATGGTCCAAAACTGGGAACAAGTATTTTTTTTTTCTTTATGACATTTAACTTCAAAGAAAGAGTACTTAAAACTTAAGAACCTTATTAATAGTGCAAATGTTTCTTTATCGCTTATGGTGGAAAACGCAACACGTAGGAAATAATGACTTAATGCAAGAATCAACTAACATGCTTTAACAGTGCTTCGCTGCAATCAAAATGGTAGAAAACGGGGAGGGGGACTCTAAAAATCAGACACTAAGGACAAACATTGAAAAAAAATGAAGCAACCCTGGCTTATGATATTTACAGGCAAGAACACGATACCGACACAGCACTCGCATCGCCCATCCACTCTTGGAGGACAGTTTACAAAATGCCCCTCCAGAGTGAGCGTTCTAAGTCGTTCCTAACCTCAGGGCACTTAGGAGAAGCTCCGTTTAACTGGCAATTCAAGTATAGGAAGCGTTACTGGAGCATGGAACAGCCCACAGAGAAACGCTCCGGACCTACGGCCCGCTTCTCAAGAACGGACCAAAGAACAACTCCCGGAACCACAAGCCCGACCTACCTTCCCCAGACGGAGGTGTTCGGACGCGCCTGTGCCATTCCCTCGGCATCCCCGCCTGCCCGACCGGCCCGGGCTGCGGGCTGCGAGCCACCTGCCCAGCGCGGACGTGGCGTCTGCGCCTGCGCGGCCCGGCCCCCACCTGCCAGGAAGCCCGCGCCGGCCCCTCGCCCGGCTCCCGCCGACGCCATCGTGCACGGCACGAGGGGCTCCGCCAGCGAGCGGCGGCAGGCTCCCCGGGCGCGCGGGAGCGAGGCGCGGCGGCGGTCGGTGGGTCCCTTACCTCTCGTCTCAGGCAGGCCTCTTAGCTACGTCTCTCCTTTCCGCTGGTGGCCATCTTGGATGCGGAATGCTGTGGGCCGTACGTCATCGCGCTGCGTCTCGTGACGATGGGTGAGCGACGGTAGGCGCGGGGAGCGTCAGCGCCTGTCAGCCAATCAGAAGAAAGTAGGACTCTTGGAGCAGGAAGGAGCCACTGTACGCCCTTCTCCCTCCCACCTGAGGTGAGTGGCAGCTGCGTGCAAGGGGAGGAGCCAGGCAAAGCGCCCAAGCCACCGGCCACGCCCTTCGCGGCGAAAGGGAATTCGGGAGCAACCGAACGTGCTAACGGAACTCGGACGAGAAGGCGGGGTCCGGGATGCCAGTTGTCCAATCACAGCCGTGGCGTGGGCCAAGTGCAGCCAATGGCGGCCGCGGGGCTGGCGGCGGCTGATCCGGCCGCTCTGGCCCTCGGTCCCATGGCCTTGGAGGACCCCGGGCGGAGCTGTGGGCCGGGAGGCGGGGCGGAGCCGCGCCCAGGCGTGCGAGGCGCGAGCCAATGAGCGGCGGCGGCGCCGGCTCGGGGGCGGGCCCGAGGGCGGGGCCCGGGGGCGGGCGGAGCCGGGTTGGGCCGCGGTGGCGGGGCCGTCTCCGGCCGCCGTTCCGCCCCTCCCGTCCGGCCGCCGCCGCCGCCGCCGCCGCCCGGGGGGTTGGTTGAGGCGGACGGTGCGGGCCCATCCTCGGTGTGGTATCCCCGCTGCACGGAAGGGGGAAGCCGGCAGGTGAGTGCCGACGGTGGCGTCTCCTCGTGCGCGGGCCGGGGGGTCCCCTGGCGTTCTCCGCCCCCGAGCGCTGCGAGGCGGTCTGGCTTCCCGTCCGGAGCCCCTTGGCCCTGCTCCGGCCCGCGCGGGTCCCTGGCTCGGTGGGCCCGAGGACGCCAGGGTCGCGAGCGGGGCCGGAGGGCGCCCCTGGGCCTCTGGCCAGAGTTCCGCGGGCCGGGCGCGCCCCGGTTCCCCGAGCTCGGCGGCAGGTGCAGCGGGCGCCCCGGCCCCCGGGCTGTGCGGGCGGCGGCGCGCTCTGGTTTCCTGCCGGCCCAGGCCGGGCTGGCTGGCTCGGTGTCTCCCGCCCCAACGCTCGGGGCCCCGAGAAGCCTCGGGGCCCCTTGGCCGTGCGGTCACGGAGACCGTCTGGAAAATAGGTCACCGTTTCCCACGCGCCCCGACCCCCGATTCCGGGGGCAGACACCGCCCCCCGCCCCGGGCCCGAGAAGGCCGTCCGGTTCTCAGCTCTTGCTCGCAGCGGCGGGGCGGAGCGGCCGAGGGCGCGGGCCTCGCCCCGCCGCAGCCCCTGGGCCGGAGCCGTGGTCACGCGCGGCCCCTGCCTCGCTCGTCCCCAGCGAGGATGTGGTGGCGCGTGGCTTGTGCCCTAGGCACCCCCGAGGGTGAGCTTGGCCCTGGGCACCCACTGGTGGGCGCGTTCGCTCGAACTCGAGGCGGCCGCCGGGCAGTGGATTTTATCTGGGGCCCCAGAGCTCCCTGCTCCGCCTTCGGAATTGATCCTAGCGGTATTTGAAAACGGAACTTTGGTAGAGGTGTTTATTTATTTTTTTTTCAAGCGAATGGCGTTTAACTCGAGCCTACAGCAACGTTGAAACAGCTTTGCTGTGCGCCGTTGACGTGTGTGTGCCAAGGATCGCTGGGCCCTGCCACGCTGTGTTTATGCGGGCTGCCATGCGTGGAGTCCTCCCTCACCAAATTAGTCCCAGGGGCGGCTGGTAATTGATGTTTTGGTGACGTTCCAGCGATTTGCTGAGGAGTTTTTCTCTGGCCTAAGAGAACTGTTTGCAAGGCCTTTTCTTGGCACCCCGGGCAGCTCGGGTTTTGAGCCTTTCTCTGCCCCTTCCTCCCTCTCGCAGTGCTGGAGTTGATGCCTGCCAGGGAAGTGAGTTTCTGTTCTCCATGCCGCGGGACTCTCAGAAGCCCTGCTGTCGCAATTCCCTTCCATGTCGTGGACATTTGGGTCACACTTGAAAGGATGATTACACCTTTGCTTTAGAAGCCAGCCGAGAGGGACGAGTGAAGGGGACACTCGTAGCTGGTTTTCCATGCTCAAGTTCAGCCACCGCAAGACCCCTTTTGTTTTGGGAGCTCTTGATAAATGGTTGCCAGCACCTCTTAAAATGCACGCTCTCACTTCTAGACAAGTGTGAGGAGGTTACGGCATAGCGGGTTTGCGGGGAGTGTGCTGGTCCTGTTAGCAGCAGGGTTGGCCTTCGGGCTGGGCGTCTTGGGGAGCTGGAGGCTTTGCAAGCTTCTTAAAAGTTTACGCTGTTTCTGTTTTCTGGTCACTAATCTGAAGTAGCTTTTAGGGATGTAACCAGCAGTGGGTACTGTATCTTTTTCTGGTTGAGTTTGACCAGTGCCTTTCCGGGAGGTTTGTCTTCTGGAGTGCTCTGTGTCCCCGCCAGCCCATAGGCAGGGTACTGCTGGTGGTGGGGGGGTGCTTTCTCTCCTAAGGCTTTGGTTCTGCCCTCGCTCTGCCTTAGTTTTCTCAGTTTGCTCCTGTTTAGGCTTTTGTTTCTTTTGTGTTTGACCAGTGAAGCACGGTGTTATTCACTACTGCATCCTCTCGTACAGTGTAGAGATGTTTGCTCTGGATCTCAGTCCGGTCTGGGTGAGATTTCATAGTTAGGAGTAGTAGCTGAGGATTCCTGTTGAACTGCAGAGCTGCCTCTACAGATGTACTTGGCCAAATGGATTTCTGTGCATTGTAGTTCCTATTTTGTTCATAAATTTGGTGTTAATGATTTTTATAGAAAGGCGTAATTTACATCACCTTTATTCTCAAGGTGAAAGTGAGTTTTCCACCAAGTGTTGATACACAAAGTTTATTACAAAGAAGTTGAGACTTCACTGTTTTTAGTCTTGAGATAGTCACATGGGCAAAAAGCTTAGTAGAATCTACAGGATGTAAACAAGTCCTAAAACAAGGTTAAACCTCTGGTTATGAAGCTGGTATTCCAGGGTCAGAATGATGATTGGCGTCCCGGCTGGTTCCCTGCCCACCCAGCTTCCGGTTGTTGACTCAAACGTGGGGGAGACCTGCATGGGGTTAGGAGCTCCTGGCTTTGGTAAACTTTGACAAACTTTGGTTGTGATTGCCCTTTGAGGATTGAACCAGCAGGTGGAAGACCCGTCTTTGTGTTAACTGCCTTTCGAATAAAGGTCTGTCTGTATATACGCATATATATAGTGTATATATATGTACATGTATATACCTTCTCAACTGACTTTCTTATTTCAAATACTTTGTGTTAGCTCTGCGAATCACGCAGGTTTTAATCCAGCAGGGAAGATGGCAGGGGGAAAGGAATGGAGGCAGAGAATGAGTTTCCTGCCATAGTGACCGGAGGGGGCTGCAAAAGAAGAGGGAGAGGAGAGAAAGTGCATGTGTGCATAAGGAAGAGGGGAGCACATGTGGGATCCTGCTTTTATGGCCAGGATTTGGGAACTTGGGGTGGTGAGGGCCATGGGCGGGCCACTGGGGATTGGTAGGCAGGGACCAGGGGGAGGGGCTCCAGCGGATTGGTGGGTAGGGCAGGCAGGTATGGCGCCACGAAGCCGCAGCGGATTGGTGGAGAACAGGGCTAACGGGAATATCTGGGCTGATATTTGAATCACTCCTCACACTTTTTAAAAAAAGATTTATTTATTTTTATTGGAAAGGCAGATACACAGAGAGGAGGAGAGACAGAGAGGAAGATCTTTCATTAACTGCTTCACTTCCCAAGTGGCCTCAACGGCCAGAGCTACCTCGAGCCAGGAGCCAGGAGCTTCTTCCGGGTCTCCCACACCGGTCGGCTTTGGGCTGACCTCGACTGCTTCACAGGGCACAGGCGGGAGCTGGATGGGAAGTGGAGCAGCTGAGACACAAACTGGCTGCCAATATAGGATCCCATCGTGTGCAAGGCTAGGACTTTACCCACTAGGCAACTGCACCAGGCCTACTGCTAGCACTTCCTAAGTAGAAGTGAACCAGTTAAGGTAAGTCCAGTGGAAAACTAATGACCGCCAAAGAGAGGCAAGTCTAACTTAAATTCAGGCTTTGACGGGGACCTGAGTAGTGCTGGTAGAAGTGTTGAGCCCAAGTACAGTTCCAGCCTCTGCTGTGAGGGGAGTGGAGGGACGGAGCAGAACGAGGCATTTTCAACTTTTTTTTTCCTACCCTTTTCTTTTTTTTTTTTTTTTTACAGGAAATTTCCATATTGTTTCCTTCATGTATCTGAGGTAAATGGGGATATTAAGGGAGAAGCCCCACCCAGTTTCCCACCTACCCCAAGTCCCATATGTGGAGCATGCTCTGAGATACTTGCTCAAGTGGATTCGATAGTTCACCAGTTATGAATCCCCGCCAGTCTCACCTCTCCAAACACAATGAGGTCGTTGAAGAATCCACTGATTGACATTTTCCATTATAGCGTCTCCATTTGCCCGGTATTTTTCTGCCAACATATAGCTGAGGTGGTTGATTGACTTGTTCCGTCTTCTGTCCTTTCATGGTTAGGGCTCTGAGTCCGGCAGTCTGATTGGGGAGATCCCCAAAGAAACTTTGTCTGAGGTGTTCCCAGGCCACATTCTTGTATGTACTAGCAAGCACAGGGCCCAGCACAGTCCATCGTCCCGATCAGCTGGTGGTTGAAATTGCTGGGTTGGTTCTGTTTTCAGCTTAAAGTTTCTTAAAAAGAATAAAAACTGTAGTGAGTTGAGCCACCATGGGAGATGCTGGCATCCCAGGGCTCCACTTCATCTCGCTTCCTGCTAAAGAGCCTGGGAAAGCAGCTCGAGATGTCCCCATGTCCCTGGTGCTGTGGCCCTGCCTTCATTTGGGTAGTGAACCACTGGGGGGATAATCTTTGATTAGGTAAATCCTTCCTCCAGCCCCCACCATTTTTTTTAAAGGAAAGACTAAAACTTGCACAGAGCATGTAGAGATCAGAACTCTAAATTTTTTTAATTGACAATAAAAATTGTACATGCATAGAACTTTTAGTAAATGGGCAACAATTTTGTTTTTTGTTTCCTGATTTTTAAGGAACAGACTCCATTAGAGCACAGCACAGTTTAAACTCCTTAGGAATCAGTGGCGTGAAAGCCTCGGGCCGGGAACATTGGGAATGGTGCTCCAGTGTCAGTAGTTTCCTGCTAACAGTCCAAGCCAGGGTTACTGTTAAGAAAGTAAAAATTGTGGAAAATTACTCCCTGAAATTGCTTTTTCACTGTGGAGTATTTACCCATACTAACAAGGTTTTCATTTGTTGATGAGGATGACTCAGCATTGTTGAGCATGATTGTCTCCTAACTTCTTACAGTTTTTTGGCTCCACGAGTTTGAAAGAGGGTGGTGTAGACGTGCTGGCTGGGCAGAGGCTCCGGTGGAAGTTTTGTTCCTGTTCAGATTTAACTTGAGGCTAGCAAAAATCTCTTCTTGCATTTTAAAGGGCCAGGGGAAGAAATCCTTTACATCTGCTTGTAAGGGATGGCTGTTACTGTGACCCTGAGAGTTTTAGGGACTTCCAAGTGGGGTTGATTTTGAGTTTAGCCCATGACATTATTGAATATCGGTAAGATTGTCGCCAGCATGGTGCTGATGTGTGGCATCTTGCATAAATGGTGAACCTATCCAGGCCCCCGCTCCCGCTCCTGTCTGCAATGGGGGCGTAGTAGAGCTCTCGTCTCACTGTGGTTCCTGATCCTTAGTGAACGGCCAAGGGTGATGGTGTTGGG